GAAGATATGGCCATCTGTCGAGAATGACTGAGGCTAACTGTCGGTCCCGACATTTCATCCATCCACTTGTTCGTCTGTTGAGAATGATTGAGGCTAACTATCGGGAACAACAGTTCAGCCACAAGTGTCGACAGATGAACTGTCGGGAATGAAACATAAAAATCACAAGGATGCCGTCAAGTGTCTATCGAGAGTTCCAACTGAATGCAGCAAGTACGTAACACAACAGATGGATTGCAAGTGAAAGCAAGGTTTTGTCCACATTACACAAGTAACATAAAAATTTGAACTGAAGAAATGAGTGTCAATCAAGATTTCTACCAAATGCATACGAGTACCACGCATATAACTTCAAGTCACGCTTTAAGAATGTACTTTTGTGAGATCGAAGTAAGAACTGAACCTTAATTTTTCATCTCAAAATTTTAAACCCAAACGAATTGTCATGTAGATGCAAAAGCTAAGTAATTTATCGATTCTTGAACACTTCCAAATTTTAAATGATGAACATAATAGTGGTTTAGGGTCATAAATTTGATTGAGAGCATATATATTTAGCAGATTATGAATAACACTCCACTCATTCAAGTACCATACTTTGGTCATGTCATCCAGTCCTCCATGTTCAATTTATCTGTATCCCTCAAATGCAATTTATCCGTCATATTGTTCACAGTGGATCGTGTAACAAATGACATCTAGTGCAATTTCCTTGATTTTTACTTCGTACTATTCAATAAGTTTGACCAACAGTCATATGTGCACTACATTTTCCTAAATGAACATGTTTAACTGAAAAGTTGAGGAGCGTCCAAGAATTAATCATGAATCATAAAACCATACATCAATAGTAAAGTAAACATTTTATTTTCTTTTTCAATTTTCCATTTTTTCTTTTCCTGTTACACCTGTTTAAATTGTCACGTCGGATACGTCGAACTACCCTTATCCATTTAAGCATTTCTGTTATTTATACAAAAGGAATCCAACATGACGACCGAAACAAAAATGTAACTTTAAAGAAATTTTCCAACTACTTTATGATGTGCTTTAGGAGAATTTACTTGTCTTTGCTTTCTAACGGACCTTGTAAACTCGGTCGAACCCACCTTCACCCAACAAGCACTCTAGCCAAAACTTTTTGTAGTAGCCGCAACTTCACAAAATGTAAATGTTTGTGCAGCAGTATTTGCTGTTGGTTATTTTGGAATCATTGCTACTATGAGGTTTTGATTTATCTAGAAAATGGAGAACAAAGGCGGAAAGGTTAAGGGGATGGAATATATAACAAAAAGAAAATTAGTGAACATGAAACTGTTGAAGAACAATAAACTTGAAAATAAATCCTTTCTGTGGACAAACAAAATCCCTACACAAACCTAGGACCATCCCCTCCTACATATCCACACAAGACCCGAGTAGGGCTAATATTACTTAGAAAAGTAATTTGAAGTGATTCTACAACTCAAACCCTACGTGGCAACGATATCTAGCTGTAAACTTTTATCATTGTTTTATTTTGTCGAGCATACCTCAATGATAACATAAAAATCAAAGCATGACATGCCATTTCTGTATGATATCTACTTCACTTGCAAATGCAGAAATCAACAAGCACGAAATAACCCTTATTCTAAATAATTTTGGGGTCTACTACTTAAATCGTTTGTCGTAACTCCATTCCATTTCGTCATATCTACTAGAAGACCTAATGTAATTACAAAAAACAATACGAGCCTAAACAATACAATTACACAAATGCAGAATTGAACATTCATATTTTCAGCACTCTAACTAAAAATAAGTCAACTCCACTGCTTTTTCCACTTCTGGATGGAAAATGTTCAAGTTCTTCGCACAAGAAATTATTGATACCATTTCATTTGGTACTCGTAGTATTCTATTAAAAAATCCAAGCAACTAAATAAAAATTAAACAAAAAAATTGCAGGACCTTGACCACAAGCAAATTCCCTAACCCCATCCCCAAAACCACACCCACCCCCAAAACAAGAAATACCACTACTTCTCTTTCATTACAAATCAAACTAAAATAAAGATGCAAGTACAGAAAACAAGGAATTTCATTTATTATTTAACATTATAAATTTATGAAATCTCGAAATCACTAAAAAACATTAAAAATAGATAAAAGAACCACGGATCAGATTTATAAAAGAAACACAAAAATAACATAATAATCCAAATGGTTATCCATATGTTATTTGCTGAAAACACTCAAGAAATTATACCCCAATCACCAAGGAAATACGATTCTTTATCAACAAAGACAACTGATGAAGCTAACTCCGAAAACTAAGAATAACCTCTCACAATCGCTGATTTCTTGCAATTAACTTTTAATTCCCAAAATGAGCTATTTTATTTAAAACCTATGCAGGTTCTCCGGAGTTTAGGTAATCTTGTGGCTGGTGATTCTTATGTGATTAATAATGTTCTTGTTACTAGAAGTGAGATCATAGGCTAGTTCCAAATCCTTTTTTTTTTTTTTTGGCAAATACAAACAATAATGAACTTCAATAGCATTTTTTTTTAATAGCTGGCTTGTGTTTTCAGTTAATGTAATTCAAGCACTAGTCAAATGTTTGAGAAGTGAACATCAAGTTTTAAAGAAGGTATGAGATTTATATATTCAACTTCTACAAACTTAAAGTGTTGAATAGCTGGATTATTATTCATAGAGAGTTAATTTCATAGAAGCAGTAAACTTCGAACCCTAGAGAAAATATCTCTCAAAGTTGAAAAACCCATAATAAAGTCTCTCTCTAAATTCACGTTCCCAACAGAAAAATGAAGTCTCTCTCTCTCAATAATGTGCCGATCAAATGGGTTAAGCAAGAATATATAGATAGATCATCTTGATACCATAAACCAGCATAGCACAATCTAGAGGCGGAGCCAAGAATGATATCTAGTGCGGGCACAATTTAATCAATGCTCGACTTTGAGTTCTCGGTTGTGGGCTTCGCTTTTTGGTTAATAGATCCTTCAAACTAATGGCACATAACTTACCTTCAAAAATACCAAATTTGATTCAAATTTGGCATGATTTTTCTCACCAGAAGATATCTTCCACAAAAAACTTGGCAACATTTGGTGATGTCAATAGTCACTGTACTAAGATTTGGCTCAACCTTTTTGACAATTGCTTGGTAGCCCACATTCTTATTTTGTGGAATAGGTTAATTGAAGAGGTCCAAATCAAGCAGCTAGTGAAAGCACAGAGAATAATTAATGGTGGTTGACATTCTGTACAAGATAAGAACAAGGAAAAAATACAACTCAAGTATCCCTATGCACTTTCCGGAACACACCTCACTCCCACAAGTTAAAAATTTTATTAAGCAATTAACAACTCAAATTAGTTTAACAAATTAATTAAATGAAGACAATAATTATAGTGACGGATGTTTCAAGAAGTTTAATAAACAATTCTTTAATTTTTAACTCAAAAGAAAAAGGGACTTATCAAGAATCAACCATAAATCACTCTTCCACCTCACCCCCAACCAAATCATTCTCTAGCTTTAAAGAATGAGCAAGGAAAAAAAATTGTAGAAAACAAGGAAGAGAATGTTAGGTTGGAGCCAACAAGTTCACCGAGAGGAACCACCTCCTGCCCCTTTCTTTTGAGCCTTGGGAGTTTAAATCGTGGTCTTTTTACATGGGTGGTATTATAGAGTTTATAGAGCTCGTAATACAACATTATTTAACTTGAAGACTTCATTTTTGTACTCACTGAAGCAGGATCTCCCAATCAAACCTACATTTAAAGATTGACGTGGCAAATTTGGTGGTTGTTGAATTCTATGGTTCTTTTGGAGATGCTAGAAGCTGCAATGGAGACTAATATACACATTGGAGGATTTTCTTCACACTTTTCACAAGATTTTTGAAAATGAAATGGGTCTGGTTCAGTGCAGGCAAGTCTTCACAGGATTTTTGAAAATGAACTAGGTCTCGTTCAGTGTAGGCAAGTGCCTACACTGGACTCTTAATGGCCCCGCCCTTGGCACAATCGATACCATATACATACCATAAACCAACACGAGTAACAGCATTTTTTACCCATATAGATACCATAAAGCAGCATAGCAAAATCAATAAAGCCAATTGCAAAGCATAAATCAAAATATACATCTACAAAAGTTTTCCCTTAACGGATTGCTAATAAACCCGCCAACACTACTGGATATTGAAATGAAAACCAAATGCAACAAAATCCTTTTTTTTTTTCCAGAAATTTAGAAAGAAAGTTCACCTTTTTAGGGCCTGAAAATGCCTTCTCCTTCGTAGCTACCGACGCCAAGTGAACATATTACAATCACACAGTCGATTGGGTGTTAGAATAATAGATTCAGTTTGCACTTTTTCTAGTATTCCTTCGTCATCAGTGGTTCTATTCACAGTCGTCGTATTTTAGGGTGGTCTTCGACGGCAAAAAGGTGGGAAGTTTGCGGTTTCTTTAGGGGTTTACGGGAATGGGTTCAGCAATTTTCGAGACAAAGTAAGGGTGTACAGACTTTGTGTATCATTTTCATGGTGGTCGTCGTCTTAGTTTTCTTCACTCCATCGACGACGGACAGTTTTTCGATGATGGCTCAGTGAGAGAAATGAGAGAGTGAGTGAGAGATTTAGGGTTCTTTGAATGGGGGATTGGAGCTTGCATAGTGGTTTTTGCTCTATTCTTTTTTTTTTTTTCAATTTCTTCTGACACTGAATTTGGTATTATTCTTCCATTTGTCAAATCTCGTTTAATTAGGACATATGGGATATTTGAAATTAGTTTCAAGGGCAAATATGATTAAAATTGGCATTTTTGCAATGCTAGAGAAAAAGTTACATTTTTGTAAATGTCTTGACAAATTTTGACGTTCTCTACAATTTCCACTTAAAAATAATGACCACCAAACAAGGGCTACAATATTCATTATCTTCATTTAAAAAACATTTTTCTGGGGCCCAAACCACAACCCTGTAAAGCAGTTCATCAAATCTGACGTACCTAAATTCATCGTGTGTCAATCGCATGACGAGATTTGAGAAATGCATATGAATCTGTCAGCTTCGCTAATAAAAACCAAAGCGAATTAGCCAATTGGCTCAGGATCTGCGGCCACGATCATCCAATAATTACTTTAGTTTTCTCCGTCCATAAATATACAGCAATACTCACACAAGTGTGAGTCTACCCAAAATTCGGCTGACCATTAACCCTCCGTAGTGGTGGCGCATTTTGTTTGTGGCGTTTGTAATTTAGAGCGAGAACCTCTTAGCTTAAATTGAAAGATTGGACCAGCATTATACTGGGTTAGTGTTTTTATTTTCTTTAATTTTTTCTTGGCAATTTTCTTATATTTCATATGACATACTAGATCTTTTTTTTCTTTTTCTTTTTCTTTTTTTTTTTTTCTTTTTGCAGAAATTTTGTGGGTTTTCGCATATAGATTTGTCATTTGACGGCGCAGTGCAAAAGTACATTGTTGTATATATTAGATTATAAGCCGGGAATTTTATGAGTTCTTAATTTCTGATAAGAAATATTTAAATTTTGAACAAAAGTTGGGTTCTTTATGAAGAAAATTTTTGGGATTGGTGTTGGTATTGATGATGTTAATCCTTTTGTTCCCTTTGATTATGAACTGCAAAATAAATTGAAAGGATTGTTATGTTGTGTAAATCAGTGAGTGAGTGCGCGTGCATTAAACTTTCGACAACTTCCTGTGGGCCTTCCCCCCTTACTATATGCAAATTCATTTCTTTGTCACATGTAGTTATGTGCATTTTCACACAATCCACTATCTTCAATTATGTAGTGGGAATCTTTTACTGCAGACAACTTGATCGGTATGAATAAATGGGTTGCAAATTAGACACTTTACCAGACAGAATGAATTTATTCTATTTGCAGGATCGAGAATATAAAATTGATGAGCATATTCGTTCATGAGAAACTAGTTTGGAAACAACAATAATGAAGTTTATTGATCTATTTTTTATGGCATTTTTCTTGTACTTACGACATTTTGTTTTTGTTTTTTTACGTGCCTACCTCTTCAAATTCTCTCTTTCTCTGCAGTAGTTACATTTTGAGGAACCAAGATGGTTGCACAAGGCTTTACCGTGGACCTTAATAAGCCTCTTGTCTTCCAGGTTAGCTATTGAAGCAATTTCATCAAGTTCTACATTAAATGGATCTTGTTCATGCAAATTCTTTGCATGGAACCACGCTTCTTGATTTATAGCACGTCTTTTTTTTCTTTTTTTTTTAATTTGATCTTGCCAACCTTTGAATATTGGCTTTTTCTTAAACCTTTTTACTGGGAAACACAAAAATTTAATCCTTTCGGTATATGTATTTTCTTTTGCAGTCCACTATCTTGCTTGACATCTTGTTCTTGTGTGTCCATTTCCGTCACTCTCACTTTCCAATTTGTAATTCAGATGGAAATTTTACAGGTTGGCCATCTTGGGGAAGCTTATCAGGAATGGGTTCACCAGCCAATTGCCAGCAAAGAAGGCCCCCGATTTTTTGAAAGTGATTTTTGGGAGGTATCCATTAAACACTATCATCATTTCGTTAACTGATGAAGAATTGACAGATTTTTTGTTTTCCTCAACATACTTATGGCAATGTTGCAAGTTACTGAATCGTTTACTCCTCTTCAAACAGTTTCTGACGCGTACAGAGTGGTATGTAATCCCGCTCATTTGGCTCCCAGTTGTCGGCTGGTTCGTTTTGATGTCCATTTGGATGGGCCATACCATTCTGCAGGTAGCATTGATGATGGCATTTGGCATTTTTGTGTGGACTTTGCTAGAATACACTCTGCATCGCTTCCTTTTCCACATCAAGACAAAGAGCTATTGGTAAGCTTTACTTTCTCTGTTTCCCTTGGTTTCTCTCATCTATCCGTGTGTGTGGACTTTTAAGCAACATTTACCTACTAGATTACCATAGTTCTTCTTCTCTTCATTTTTATTTTTTCTTTTCCGGCTATGTTTCTGAATAATTTCAAGTGATTTGTTAGGGGAAACACCATTCATTATCTTCTTCATGGTTGTCATCATAAGCACCCAATGGATGGCCAACGCCTTGTTTTCCCTCCCACTGCAACTGCTATTCTTTGTGTACCAGTATGATCCATCCCTCAAACAAAATTCATTAGTTTTTGTACTTCTTTTTGCTTAAATTCTCTCCTGTAATGCAAATTGCAGTTCTGGAACTTGATAAAATTCATGTCTACCCCGTCTATCACTCCTGCTGTGTTTGGAGGTGGTCTACTGGGTTGTGTAATGTACGATGTAACCCATTACTATTTGCATCACGGGCAGCCAACCAGTGTCGTACCTAAAAGTCTGAAGGTAATAATTTGCATATTTGATTGTATCAACAGCTTAAGCTGAAAGCTGCTAGCCTTAATAGTTACGGAATCTCATTCATGTAGATTACAACCAAAAATACAGATATTAGAGCAACTTTAGTCAATTTAATTCAATATTATATAGTTAATAGTTGAAAGGCACCACTGTACAGCAACTTGGGAGAAGTGTGTATTTGTCTTAAAAACTAAATGATCATTTTGTAGAGATCTGACTATTATGTTTTGCAGAAATACCATTTGAATCATCATTTCCGTATCCAGAATAAAGGTTTTGGTATAACTTCCTCACTCTGGGACAAGGTTTTTGGAACACTACCTTCAACAATATCGGCTGAGAAGAGCAGCTAATTCAATCGTGAAGCAGTGATAATTAGAAGGGGCTTTTATCCAATTATTTACGTTGTTTTCCCAGACTGTGGGAGTTGCACAAAAAAAAAAAAAATGACGACCACGGATCCAATATTTATCTTTTGGGAGTCGTGTGACGACGATGTTGATCATTTTGGGAGTTACATGAAATTAAAACCTTGTTCATCAATCACGTGTAATGTTGGTAATGAACTAGACAAACATGTTAAGAAAGAAAAATAGTTTAAACTCTTGTTTAGTATTTTGTATCAAACCTGCACCGAAGAACGTTCTCGGGTCAGGATAATGCCAATGAAGATGTTTAAAGTTCTAAAACAGCTTTCTTGTCTCATCTATATATCAAATATTATGTATAGACCAAGCAATAAAACAGTGAGCTTAAGAAAGATGATTACAATACTTGTCTCATCTATGTATCAAATATTATGTATAAACCAAGCTATATGCATGTTCTTTCAAGAAAAACTATATCATATATACTTATAAATCAAGCTTTAGGCCCATTACTTGAATATAGACTAAAGAGAATTAAGCATTCTATGCCACAGACAAATATTCATTGCAAGTTGTAAAAGAACACGGATTGGACGAAAAGGTATTTTTTGTACACGGTATTGCAAAGTAGAACTTACAAACTTCTCTTTCTTTAATCCTATTCAATACGGTTTAGTTCAGTATGTCAAACATGCAACAACTTTATGATCCTTCAATGGCATATTTGTGTGCACTCGTGCTTGTCCATATACAACTTACAATCTTTTACGAACATATAAGATTGCAGAGGTCCTCAATCCTTGCTTGTGAGAAGCTGACGAAAGGGAACACGGTGAATTTACCATTGCCGGAGCAAGTCAGTGTCAAATGCTCCGAGTTTGCCATTGTCTGCAATGACACAGAAGTAGGATAAGCTCCATTCCAATCCATTGTTTTTTAAGCATTTTAATTAGTTTACGCAGTGTCTTTATAATTTATTCTTTTACGAGTTGTACGTTCATTTCTGCCATACCTCACAATGAGTCATTTTGCTACCGCAGGTCCACCATTTGATGGGAACGCAGTCAATATATTGGCACCAGGCACAATATTTGTTCATATTTATGCCTTGAACTACTGCCATAATAACTCCTGCAAGTCTGAATAATGAGGAGACATCAGTTTTCGTGTGAGGCCAAACTGTTAATAGTAGAATAAGAACATAAACTCACAGAAGACTGAAGATGACAAGAGAAATACTCCTCAAGACTGGTCTGTCTAGCTTCTGCTTAAGTTTGACAGAATGCTTGACATCATATTCAAATAAACCGCCTTTATTTTGATACATTTTCCCCAGTTGAGGCTTGAATAAAAGCATAAAACCAAGAAGGAAACCCGAGATTAATCCTCCTATGTTTGAAAAATTGTTGACGTACGGCATCAGGCCAAGGACGAAATTTAGCATCAAGATTGCACAAAAAGCTACAAGAGTAGCAAACTGCAATCAAATGAAGGATGAGTTATCTGTCTGAGGGAAGATGCCTAAAGCAAAGAGAGCGCACTACCATAGAAATATCAAGGACCTTTTTGGCATAAAATTTCCAATTCCTGATAAGCGCAGATAGCATTGCACCAAGCAATCCAAACAACGTACTAGAGGAAGCAACTGATGGTCTATCTTGAAGAAACATAGCAGCTACCAAACTTCCGGTAAGAGCTGAAAGTATGTAGATAACCCCTATCCTTGCTGCCCAGAAAAAAATTGAAGAGGAACGATAAGAGACTAATGAGAAGGAATTCAAAATCTAGTTATTAATTTTCTTAACCATAATTAGATAAATACAGAAAATTTACACGGTCCAAACTCTTGTTCTAGGTGAATTCCAACAAATATTACACAAGAGAGATTGATTATAAGGTGGAAAAGCCCTGCATGCAAGCATGGGCTCGTGAAAACACGCCAAAACTCCTGATCTTTTGCCAAATATCTCAGCCGTAAAGCCCCCATTTCATCAAGCCTACAGTAGCAGAAAGAAGTATCAGTACTTTTATCCATCTGAATTTAGGACTTCCAAGCCTAGTCGTATCTCAGTAATAGAAATTTAGCTGAACAAATGTATTTACTATTAAGCTCAATGAGATAAATGAGACCCATTTAGCTCTTGTAAGTAAATCACGTATTTTTTTCCTTGAAGAAGCAGCAAAATAAGCAGGAGAGTTTTGCCACTCGACAACTATAATAGATCAGACGAATATAAGAAAAAGGTGGGACTATGCAAAATTTTTGGGATACAGAGAGAAAGGTGCCAATCACTTTTTGAATATAAAATCAAAGAAGCTTTTGAAGGAAAAGTTGCCGATACATTTGTAAAAGTTCAAAAGCATAGTCCAAAATGAAACCAGTTTTAGCATTCAGAACCAAAATGGTTACTGGAAAAGCTTCATTAAGATCTATGACTACTTCTGTTAGCTAAGCAATCATGATCCTGTTAATCATAGGAGTGAAGCACAAGTGGTGATTATCAAATGAAACAGTTCTATGCCAAAATTCTTAGCATCATAGGAGCAGAATTCAGAATAAGCAATTTAATTCAGCTGGCCTTTCAAGTTCGCGATGAAAAAAAAGATGTAATATTCTGGAAACTACTTCACCATGTTCAAAATTCACGGATAATAAATTGTTCCTCATAGAAATCAAGCTAAAAAAGGTGTTGAAAAAATCCATGAAATTTTTCTTGAGAAATAGAAAATATCTTTCTGCTAACCCTCGTAGACAAAACTTCTAGATTTAGTGATTTACTCGAAAATACCCAAATTTCCTAGAGAAACCCCTAGTAGAAATAATGAAATCAACAAAACCATCCTTCCCTTTCATGTAATAAAAATATAAACACAATTGTACTTGTTTTCCTTGCCCAAACACAGATAATGGCATTCACACAGTTTCTTCATAATCCCAAATGAACATAAATTAAAATGAAATGCACGTTAACAGAGAGAGAAAACATCATAATCAACCCATTTATGAAGTTAATACGATTAACAACAAGTCGATATATAAACCTGGATTTAAGTTGATTAGGGAAACTCAAAGTAGATTTATTCAAGAAACTCATAATTAATGTATCGATTCAAGAAAATCAAAACTTCATATCCAAGAAAAAGCAGAAAAGGATTTACGCAGAGGCTGAGGGACCAAGCAGGGGATTCTCAGAGAGGGGCTGAAAGGAGAACCTCCCTAGGGGTTTGAGCGCACACAGTCCATGAGAGTTGCTCCAACAGTCATTGATAATCATTGTGGCAGCAAAGGCTATCAAGTGAAGAATCACAAAAAGAGAAATGACCCATGTATTCTCCTTTCTCTGAGACAATGGCCTAAAGAATGGGAAAGGGAGTTTCTGTTCTTTGAGAAGTTCTTCTGCAGAAAGCTCTACTGACATTCTTGGCATATGGGATTGAATGGGGTTAATTTGTATATTGGTTTGAAGTTTAGAGGTGTCTTCCATTCGATTTCTGTTAATAAAAAGAAATTTTTTGAAATTGTGAATTGAAATTCCAGCAGGTCTTGGCCGAAAAGATGATTTCGTGTGATGAAGGAGGTGAAATTGCAGATGAATTTCTGCCAAAAACAATGGTTTCTTGGAATTGAGAGCAAGGGATAGAAAGAGAGTGTGTGTTTCTCTCTCTAAACAGTTGGGCTTGGCGGGATGGGGTCTTTCCTCGTTCTTGAAACAGTTATACTGAACGCCGTTTTTATTTATTTTAATTAGCGGCTTTTTTATTAAAGACCAAAAAAAAAAAAATTTAAAAAAATAGAGAAGCTCGCCAGAGTCAGCCACACAAGCTGTTGATTTAGTTATTCAACCTCTACATGACCCACCTATAATGTCGAATCAATCCAAGACATAATTCAATTTAAACCATACCCGAGTTTGAATAGTTCAGACTTACATACGTCAACATAATTGAAGTCGTCATGTTTTTAGAGTCGAACATGTTAGACAAGATGATGTGAACAACAGTCTTTATTAAGGTAACTATGTCTAATACAGCTCTTATTAAGGTATAACATTTATGGACCGTGCTACACATATATAGTCATTTACCTAATTTTTTACCCACTACTCACATCATTTGAATAGGACCTCGATTTAAATTATTAAATTACACATAGGGCCTGCATGTTTGGGGGGAGGGAGGGGGGGACACAGTTCGGTACACCCCCCTTCTGTACAAACATATTTATCCAACATTCATTTAATATTAATCATTTCCGCATATAAAAAATTCCTCAACGTATATTTTTGCTTTGATATGTAGCGAAGCAAAGGGGAGGAGCTGCCATTTTCCTTTCCTACTTTTATTTTTTATTTTTCTTTTCTAATAGGCATGTTATTTTTTATAATCAATCGAGCAATTTCTCTCAATTTCAAATTAAAATTATTATTTCTTGTAACCTTAAAGGAATAAATACAAGGCTGTCTCAATAAGATACTAAAATAATACAACGGAGCCTGTATCATAAAAAATAAAAAATAATTATGATAAAAACGTAATTTAGATTTCAATCGAGACTTTCTCCCTGATTACAGTTAAAAGATGCGAACTTTCTCCTGCCTTGCATCAATCAGAAGACGAGTCACAAGAATCTTTCATCAAGCATTTCTTGTCTATTCTTGATAAACCAGTATATAGACACATAATGATTTGAATATCTTAACCATTTTTTTATTTTCCGATCGCCTGGATTTCCATGCTAAAGCCCAAAAGAAAATTCCTAGATGCAGAAAATAATACCACAACATTCTCGTGGTTGAATCTACACAACAAACATTTAGCATTACATTTCTAGACCAAACTGGTGAATCCTCCTCTTATACTGCGTAGACGTACTAGCTCGTAGATAAATCAAGCTGATTAGTTCCAGTCGTGTGTCTGATACACTTCTGCTTTGTCAATCACGTCTCTCAAAGCATCCGTGCCTAGATATTTGAGAACCTGAACCCATAAGACAAAAATAAATTTCTGTTCGATGACCATATGTAATGCAGCCCCAATAACCGTTCAGGATTTAAGCAGTTCCATGTAGTGTAAGAGCAAATCATTATATGGAAGGAAAAGTCTACATGTACATAATTATTGTACTTAATATTGTCCATAATGTGATGTGACAATCATCAGATTGTTGATGTGAAAGTGTGAGATTTGAATTAAAGATTGGATCCAGTGCCACATGTAATTATGGACACCATTATGTAAATAATTATGTACATGTAGCACTTCCCTTATATGGAATGTACGGGGAAAAAGGGCATAAACTAGTGCATGTTTGGTACGCATCACTGTATAAGACAATATAAAATACAAGATTTTAACTTATTTTTCTTCTTTAACACTAAAATCCAGTACCCACCTTATGCTCCTTACAAACGTACCAAGAAGGCACAAGGTGAGATCTCGTTTCGTCCCATCATACTACTAACCTTTCACCAATACAACAATAAATTTATATAATTCCAATGATATAATGTGCCGCAGCATTCTTTCTTGTCATTGCCTAATATCTCAAAAACAAAAACGTTCGCAGAGATCTAAACCTTGCTGTGATGCTTTGCCATCAGAGCAAAATAAATTTTATGATACTGTCATTTTTTCTCATATTCCCATTCAATCTTTTTTGCTAAATGTTTGCCAGATCCAAAGTTGATTCTCAGAAATAAACAGGTCTGGAATACCAAAAAGTTGCAGGCATTCGAACAATAAAAGTTGAAGGGTTCAAATAGTGACACGCAATTCCTTTCCTTCCTCTATGCGGAGAAAAAAATGTAAAAGACAGTATAAAGTGAGAAAGAGTAGAGCAAGTATCAACCTCATTTGCATCTTTAAAAGAGTTGAACTCATCTTTCTTCGGCCAATTTACTTGCCAGCATCTAATGATCATCAAAAGAAAAGGACAACTTAGACAATTACAAAAAGGAAAAGGTGCATGTCTTGTTGAGGGGAAAAAAAACTGAGGCAATCAAGGAGTCAAAAACGAGATACAAAGGTGTCAACTTAAAAGAAGAAAAGCACAATCACGTTTTTGGATGGAGTACCCAGGATATCTTTGTTCATAAAGATCATCAATACAATCACCTTAGAACTTTTTTAATATACCAAGTTTTTTCAGATTTTTCTATTGCATAAATTATTTACTGACTCGAATAAAATCTGTGTAATTATAGCCTGGTGTGCTTATTTTGTTTTAAATAAAAAAGAGCCCAGAACTAGATTCTACCGAAAAAAGATACACGCAATGTGCAGCAAGATTTCTTTGAATTGAACTGCGATAAGTTGGTGCATTGTAACCTTTCTCTTCCAAGGCGACGAGTGAGCTCCTCAGCTAAAGCTTGGCCAGGTATATCACCATCAGTTGCCAAGATTATCCGAGAAACCTAATAGGGATAGTAATCAAACATAGGAAAAAATGGTCTATTCTGTACAAAAAATAGATGCTTTTAAAGAAATGCAAACATGAAGGGCTCTAACCTTGTCAAGATAATCTTTGCAGTTCCATAGGTACTGGAATCTGTTATCCTGGTGCAAGGAGCACGTATGAAAACAGAAGTATGAAGCATCAAGAAGCAAAAACTCTATGATAATTTAATGAAGCACAAACTTGTAGTTAATTAATTCCATTTATTCAGCAAACCTTCTCTGAAGATGGTAGTTCTGTGAGGGAAACTGTCTGTGGTGCACCATCAGGAACGCTAACACAATTGAAAAAACCAGCTTCTTCCATTGACAGCTTATCCATTTCACCTTCAACCTATGATGATAATAGAAGTCAAACTATAATAATCAGGTCATAAAACAGAGGTGCGCCTATGCACTAATAGCAAGAGTTCAAGTGTTTACAATAATTATCTCGTCTGCATCTGCTATATTGTCAAGTCCATAAAATATTTTTTCAGTACCTTTTTCCTGAAAATTACAAGCAACAAATTCGAAAGTATCACGTCAACACCCAGAATGAAATCATTTGCTTTTCACCACCAAAATATTTTATTTATACAGATTTCATTGATCGCTCATCTAGACAATCAGCATTAGGATTTTCTTCATGTACTCTTCGTTTATATGGAAAAGGATCAATGCTGTTTGACACCTTTAATAACAGAATTGTGAAATTGTATCACTTTTCACTTTAGATTTACTATAACAAGGATTTAACTTCAAAGAGTGCTGATTTGCTGGTTCCAAGTCACCATTTCAACTCATTAATCAAAAAATAATAATTACTTGGTCTTGATCAAATGCATCCCAACTTGAGTTTCTCGAGTAAATATTGACTACATACCTGCCAAAACTTTTTGTCAACTGTCCGGTACTTGCAGCCCACGAGCAGTCCGTTTCTTCTATAAGTAAAGGCAATGATTTTCTGCATTGGAAATATAGCTTGAGTATCTATACAATGAAGATGAAAAAATGATATTTGCTAAATATCATTGTATTACCATATAAATGATAGTTCTTTCTCATCTTCCAACAGAGAAAATATGTATGTTTTTAAGTTCATATTATGAACACAGCTGATAAGTACTGCCCAGGATACTCTCAATTTTATGTGAGAAAAACAAAGGAAAAGAACTGAAATGAAGGCTTGTATTGCTGGAAATGTGAATTACAAAAGAAAGACAGAATTAAAGGCAGCCATTAGAGGCCGTATTTTCCCACACTCCTACTGAAATATTGTTTTTGCATAACTATCCTTTCCCAACCCTTTTTTATTTATAGGCTACTACTAACCAAATTGCCTTCCTCACTCTTCCCTTCTAACAAAATTTGTTACTGCCTCCCTCTTCTCCACTCTTCTTGATTCTTCTAGAATAAGTATGCTTAATTGGGGGCTTATCAATTACCCCCCCCCCCCCCCCCCCCCCCCCCCCCCCCCCCCCC